GAATTGACACTTTTGAGTTGTGTTGCTGAAGAAAATTGAATATATTCTTTTGGCAGTTTGTTCTGCCAGAAGATCGAACAAATCTGTCTTGCAAGAATTACAGCGAGCATGCTTCTTAGAAGCGAGGATGACGAGGCTTCGTTTCACATGCTTTGGACATGTTATCAGGAGGGACCAGTCCCTGGAGAAGGACATCATGCTTGGTAAAGTGGAGGGTCATCAAAAAAGAGGAAGACCCTCAGCGAGATGGATTGACACAGTAGCTTCAACAGTGGCCTCAAGCATGAGAACGATCATGAGGATGCCACAAGACTAGGCAGTGTTTCATTCTGTTGTACATAAAGTTGCTGTTAGTCTGAACCAACTCAATGGTACCTATCAAAAACAACAACAGTAATGTTTTGAAAAGAATCCTTTTTTCTGACCAGTAGGTCTCAACAATGGGCTTAAAATATTCAGTAAGCCATGTTGTAAAGAGATGTGCTGTCATCCAAGCTTTGTTCCATTCGTAGAGCACAGGCAGAGTAGATGTAGCATAATTCTTAAGGGCCCTAGGATTTTTGGAGTGGTAAATGCATACTGGCTTCAACTTAAAGTCACCAACTGCATTAGCCCCTATCAAGAGAGTCAGCCTGTCCTTTGAAGCTTTGAAGCCAGGGATTGACTTCTCTCTAGCTATGAAAGTACTAGATGGCATCTTCTTCCAATATAAGGCCATTGTATCTACATTGAAAATCTGTTGTTTAGTGTAGCCACCTTCATCAATTAGTTTGGTCTTCTGAATAACTTACTGCAGCTTCTGTATCAGCACTTGCAGCTTCACCTTGCACTTCTTTGTTATAGAGATGGCTTCTTTCCTTAAAACTCATAAGCCAACCTCTGCTAGCTTTTCTGCAGCTTCCTCACCTCTCTCAGCCTTCATAGAATTGCAGATAGGGCCTTGCTCTGAATTAGGCTTTGGCTTAAGCAAATGTTGTGGCTGGTTTGATCTTCTTTCTAGACCACTAAAACTTTGTCCATATCAGCAATAAGGCTCTTTTGCTTGCTTATCATTTGTATGTTCACTGGGGTAACACTTTTAATTTCCTTCAAAAACTTTTCCTTTGTATTTGCAACTTGCCTAACTCTCTGGCTCAACAGGCCTAGCTTTTGGTCTATATTGGCTTTCCACATGCCTTCCTCACTAAGCTTAATCATTTCTAACTTTTGATTTAAAGTGAGATATGTGATTGTTCCTTTCACTTGAACACTTAGAGGTCATTGTAGGGTTATTAATTGGCCTAATTTCAGTATTGCCATGCCTTAGGGAATAAGGAGGGCCAAGGAGAGGGAGAGAGAGGGCAGAACAGCCAGTCAGTGGGGTAGTCAGAACACACACATTCATCGATTAAGTTCGCCATCTTAGATGGGTACAATTCATGGTGCCCCAAAACAGTTACAGTAGTATCAAAGATCACTGATCATAGATCATCATAACAGATATAATAATGAAAAATTTGAAATATTGTGAGAATTACCAAAATATGACACACAGACGCAAAGTGAGCGTATGCTGTTGGAAAAGTGGTGCCGATAGACTTGCTTGATGCAGGGTTGCCACAAACCTTCAATTTGTAAAATATGTAGTATCTGTGAAGTGCAATAAAGTGAAGCGCAATAAAATGAGGTATATCCGTATCCAGAATATATAAAGAACTGCAATGCAGCAACAAAAGACAAACACCCAATCAAATAATGGCCAAAGGACTTGAAGAGACGTTTCACCAAAGAAGATATACAAATTGCCAGTAAGCACATGAAAAGATGCTCAATGTCATTAGTCATTAAGGAAATGTAAATGAAAACCACAATGAGATATCACTTAACCCCGACTAGGGTAACTATTACCAGAAAATTGGAAAACCGCAAGTGTTGGTGAGGATGTGGAGAAATTGGAACTCTTATCCATTGCTGGTAAGATTGTAAAATGGTGCAGCTGCTACGCAAAACATTTTGGCAATTCCTCAAATAGTTAAACATAGAATTACCATATGACCCAGTGATTCCACTCCTAGATTTATATTGAAAAGACGTGAAAGTAGGGACTCAAACAGATACTTGTACACCCATGTTCTTTGCAGCATTTTGCACAGTTGCAAAAAGGTAGACGTAACCCAGTCATCCATCAACAGATGAATGGATAAATAAAATGTGGTATATACATATGTTATGCATTGAATTGTGTCTTCCAAAAACTTATATTGAAGTCCTAAGCCCTGTACCTGTAAATATGACCCTGAATAAGGGTTTCATTTGTATGTTAATGAGGCTATAACCTCATTTGAGAGGGGGGGGGTCCTAAACCTAATCCGTTCTGAGTTGTATCTTATATAAAGGGAAAACAACACAAAAATAGGCATACACACAGGAGGAGGAGACCATGTGAGGAACTGTCTATGAGCTAAGGAATGTCAAGGAACACCTGGGGCCACCAACCTGAGGCTTCCCTATAAATGATGTCCTGCCTCCAAAACTGTGAGACAATAAACTTCTGTTCTTTAAAGACACCGACTTGTGGTATTTTTTGTTATGGCAGCAGTAGGAAACTAAGAAAACATACAATGGAATATTATTCAGCCATAAAGAGAAATAAAGTTCTGGCACATGCCATGACATTGGCAAGTCAGACACAAAAGGACAAATATTGTGTGAACCCACTTATATGTAATATCTAGAATAGACATAAGCCTAGAGATCAAAGTTTATGAGTTGTTACCAGGGCATGGTGGAAGGTGTGGGGGGGGGTAGTTATTCCTTAAGGGGGTGCTGAGTTTCTGTTAAGACTGATGAAAAATTTGGAAACGGTGATGGTTGCACAGCATGGTGAATGTAACTAGTGTCACTGGATTGTACATATAAAAATGGTTGAAATGGCAAATGTTTTGTCATAGATATTTTACCAAATAAAAATTTTAAAAAGAAGACAAAAAGTAATTGAATAATACATGGAAATTGGGGGGAATATGGTATTTAATACTGTACTCTGTATCTATATTACCTAACAAGTATATGATGAAGGAAATGCTTATTCTTGGTCCTAACAGTTGTGAGAAGCAGTATGCCTGACTTGGTTTTCCTGACCCAGTCATAAAAACAACTTAAAGTGCCAGCCCAGTTGATGATGGGTTAGATTGTACACCTATGCAAACAAAGAAGAGCATTAAGTTAGACTTGTAATTTGTTAAAAATCAAAGAGCAAAAATACAATACATAAGTGGTGATTACAAAAAAAAAACATTTGATGCAATGGGTAAGTACTTATTAAAGCTTAATGTTGGAAATGCAAATTTCCAGTTTCTCTTATCTAAGTAGAATAAACTCTAGACCTGAAGTAGGTATTGTGCACAAATCAAAACTATAGCATTCAATTTAAAAAGACAGAGGTAGATATTTAAAAAATTAGGAATCTGTGGAAAAGATAAGTGGTATACAAGTGTTTAACTATTTTCATTCACTGTAGTGTAATTTGAAAAAACAGTTGCCTTCAAGTCACTTCTGACTCATGGTGACCCCGTGTGTGTCAGAGTAGATCTGTGCTCCATAGGGTTTTCTGTGGCTATTTTTTTGGCAGCAGACCACCAGGCCTTTCTTCCATGGTACCTGTAAGTGAACTTGAACCTCCAGCCTTTTAGTTAGCAGTCAAGCGCATTAACTGTTTGTGCCACTAACTGGATTATCAGTGTTTGTGCCACCCAGGGACTCCTGTAGTGTAGTAGAGAGGAAGTGTAATATACTAGCAAAGATCCTTGAGCCCTGTGCCTAGGATTAAATCTTGGCTCTGCCTACACTAGCCTTGTGACCTTGGGTAAATAAATCACCTACCCTGTGCCTCAGTTTCTGCACCCATAAAACTGGGATAATAGATTCTACTTCAGAAAGTTGTTAGAAGGCTTAAATGAGAACGTGTGTGTGTGTGTGTGTGTGTGTGTGTGTGTGTATTTAAAAATAGTGCCTGGTGCCTGGCAGATAACATAGTACTGTACATTGAAATCTGTTTTTCTGGGTCTCGCAAGTTTTCTGCCTTTGACAGAGTACAGTCTTACTATTCTGTCGCTCGTTTTAGTGGAAAATATTTGAGTTTTCCTCCTCAGACAGGTTTCCGCCTTATGCAGGTTCCAGTTTTCACAGATTTTACTGTACTACCTAAGTATTAGCCGTTACTGCCTCCATCAGACTGAGTCCAGCACAACTAGATGGTGCCTGGCTACCACCCCCGACTTCTCTGACAGGGATCACAATAGAGGGTCTCGGACAAGGCTGGAGGAAAATGTAGAACAAAATTCTAAAACTCACAAGAAAAAAAAAAAGACCAGACTTACTGGTCTGACAGAGACTGGAGAAACCCCAAGAGCATGTCCCCCAGGACACCTTTTAACTCAGTAATGAAGTCACTCCTGAGGTTCACCCTTCAGCCAAAGATTAGACGGGCCCATAAAACCAAACAAGAGTAGGTGGGCACACCAGCCCAGGGGCAAGGACGAGAAGGCAGAAGGGGACAGGAAAGTTGATAATGGGAACCTGAAGTCGAGAAGGGGAGAGTGTTGATGTGTTGTGGGGTTAGCAACCAATGCCACAAAACGATATGTGTATTGTTTAATGAGAACCTAGTTTGCTCTGTATACCTTCATCTAGAGTACAATAAAAAAAAAATACATATTAGCCACTACTATTGTTAACCAACAAATAATTGGCTACTTACTGTCAGTCACTGTGCTGAGGATAAGATCTTGCCCTAGAGAAATTTAGTAAATTTAGTGAAACTCAAGGTTCTACTTCTCTACTTATATCTTGGTTCTTTTTTTCCATATCTCTTATCTTATTCCCAAGACAGTAAATTCAAAGTTTATAGTTTACTGTCAATCTTTAAACTGATCTGATATTTAAAGAAATGGTTAGAAAGTTGACTTGCAGCATTGATAAAAATAAAATATTTTAAAGCCATTTAAAATTTTGTTTCATAGATGTTTGATTACTACTAATGGGTGTGAGCAAGTTAGATGTTTTATACCGGAGACTTCTCCTCACAAAACTTTTTATCAGAGGATGGGGAAGGCCAGAGGATCTCAAAAGGTAAGCTTTTTTTTTATGAATACTTGTTCTGATTTTTTTGTTTTATTTAATATTTAAAATTTTATTTCAGTTATAAAATCTTTTACTTTCAATTAGATTATCCTGCAAATAAAGCATTAAACTATGTAAAAATAAATTCTTTTTCCCTTTTGTCTTTTTATTTATTTCTCTTTAAGTTTTAGCACATATAATCATAAGTTGGACTATTTTTAAATAATTCAGATTTTAAAACAAAAAGCTCTCAGAAATGTCAACTGGATTTTTAATTTCAAATATTAAGCTGATTAGAGTTGCATATAATTTCCAGAGACTAAGTTTTCTTTAGTAACCTGAATATGTAATGGCTATAAAACTGGGACACACTAGTATTCATGGGAAAATCTAGACCTAAAAAGATGAATTTTCAGGATTGGTCCCGTTAATTTTGAGTATTATATGTGTTAATTACTTTCTGAACAGTGTTATTTCCCACAATTCTCTGAGGAAAAGGATCCAGTTTGGGTGGGGGGGGAGCCTAATATTTTTTCATTAGTGATTAAAATTAAATTTTAACATGACTTATAAACTGCGTTTGCTAATTTTTATCATTTTTCATCAGTCTCAATATAATGGGCATAAAAGGTGAATTTTTTCTCCTTTCCTATGATAGACTGTTTGAATTCAGAAAGCTGATTGGAAATCGAGAAAGATGCCAGCATCTGGTTTCAAGTGATTATCCAGTTTACATTGATAAGGTATTCAAAAGAAAGAAATGCAATTATGGAAATTCTGGTTAAACAAATATATGGCAAAAATAGATTGAATGTTGGAGTAAAATAGCAATAAACCTTAAAACATGAGTATACATCAGAGAGATGCAAATCAAAACCACAACGAAATACCACTTCACTCCCTCTAGGATGGCTATGATTAAAAAAAAGAAAACAAAATAACAAATGTTAGCGAGAACGTGAGGAAATTGGAAGGAACCCTTACCCATTGCTAGTGGGAATGCAAACTGGTACAGACGTTGTAGAAAATAGTGTGGCGGTTCCTCAAAAAATTAAAAATAGAACTACTGTATGACCTGGCAATTCCACTCCTAGGTATATACCCAAAAGACTTGGAAGCAGAGACTCAGAAAGAGACTTGTACACCAATGTTCATTGCAGCTGTATTCACAATAGCCAAAAGTAGAAACAATCTAAATGCTCACCAACAGATGAATAGATAAGCAAAACGTGGTACATACATACAATGAAATACTACTCAGCCAGTAGGAGAAATGAAGTGCCTGGGGTCTTAAAAGCTTCCAAGCAGCCATCCAAGGCACAATTGCTCTCTATTCACCTGAGCAACAGAGGAAGAAGGAGAGTCAAGAATAGAAAGAAGAAATGGAATGTGTGGTTAATTGCCTCCATGAACAACTGCCTCCTTTACCATGAGACCAGAATAACTAGATGATGCCCGGCTACCATTACTAAACATTTTGATCAAAGATTCCATAGCAAAATCCTGATCAAAAGGGGGAAAATGCAGAACAGAATTTCAAATTATTATGGACTCTAGACTTTCTGGAGCCATGGAGGCTGGATGAACCTCTGAAACTGTTGCCCTGAGATAATCTTGAAACCTTAAACCAAAAATATCCCCTGAAGTTATCTTAAAATCGAACAGTAGTTCAGCTTAACTAGTAAAAAAAAAAAAAAAAAAAGGCCTGCCTTGAGCATTATGCTCTTTTAGGAGCTATATATAGGGCATCAAACTGACAACTGCAACTTGAAAGATTAGATATGAACCTTAGGGGGAAGTGAGTTTATGTTAATGATGGAGGAACAACTTACAAAAGGAGGGCAAGAATGGTCGCAGGACTCAAACAATGTAATCAGTGTCACTAAATCGTACGTGTAGAAACTGTTGAATTGGTGTTTGTTTTTCTGTGTATATTCCCATCATCAACAACAACAAAATAAATAAAACTTAGAAAAAAATTTATAAACTTAAAAAATGAAAAAAAATGAGTGTAGTATGAATTTCCCATTTAATATTTAAATAATGCCATTTGTATCCTGAATGGATGCTTGTAATAACTGTGTTCATGTATGTTTGGGAACATATAGTTAGTATTTACCTAAATACAAGAAAGTACTTAGAACTGAATCTTTCTGAACCTCATTTTGTATCTTAAGCTGAAAACCAAAAAAACCCAACCCATTGCTGTCGATTCGATTCTGACTCATACTGACCTGATAGGACAGAGTAGAACCGCCTTGTAGGATTTTTAAGGCTGTAAATCTTTATGGAAGCAGATTGCCACATCTTTCTCCTGTAGAGCAGCTGATGTGTTTGAACAGCCAACCTTCTGGTTAGCAGCTGAGCCACCAGGGTTAACCACTGTGCCACCGGGGTTCCTCTCTCTTTAGGCTCAGGAGAGTTAAATTATTCAACATAACAGAAGATTTGTTAATATTAAAGGAGAATAATCTAGTTAGTGGGGGCAAATGGTAAATGCTTGGCTGCTAACCGAAAGGTTGGTGGTTTGAATTCACCCATAGGCACCTCACAAGAAAGGTCTGGCAGTCTTTTTCCCAAAAAAATCAGTTGTTGAAAACCCTATGGTTAAAAAAGAAAGAAAAGAAAACCCTATGGAGCGCGGATCTACTCTGACACACACAGGATCATCATGAATCAGAATATACTCCACAATAACTGGTTTGATTTCTTTCTTTTCTTTTTTTTTAAATCTAGTTAGAGAGTCACCACATGAAGAGTTACTTGCAAAATAATGTATAAATTTTAAAACTATAAGAGGCATAAACCAAAAAAAAACCAAATAACCAAACCCGCTGCCGTCGAGTTGATTCTGACTCATAGTGACCCTATAGGACAGAGTAGAACAGCCCCATAACGTTTCCACGGAGCGGCTGGTAGAATCAAACTGCCCACATTTTGGTAGCTGTGCCACCAAAGGCTCCTTAAGAGGCATAAAAGTGGCTAAAATGGAAAGACTTCTTGGATTAAAAATTTAGTATTATACAGATGTTAGACATTTTGGGCATTTTTAAAAATGCAATGAAATCCCAATCAGAATATTCAGTTTAGAATTTCATAAAAGGATCTTAAAGTTGTTTTGGGAAAATATATGAAAGTATAATCAGATCAGGAATACTCTGAAAAAGAAAGTGGTAGGGAAAGACTAGTTCAGTCATTTATCAATAGATAGTATAAAACTGCAGTTATGAACACAGCATGATGTTGGTGCAGAAATAAAAGATAAGCTAATAAAACCAAATATGGAAATTTAGCACATGATAAAGTACCCTTTTAAGTCAGTTGCAAAAATATGGATTATTCAATAAATGGTGTTGACACAACTAGCTAGTAATTTGGGTTAAAAAAAAAGCTAGATGTACACATCATCCACAGATGTTTAGTTTTGTTTCTGATTTTGATAAATATATCTGGTGTTTTATTGCTAATTTAATTTTGATTATTTATTTTAAAGAAATAACTATTTGAGAGGAAAGTAAGTTTAGGTATTGAATGTTAGCAAATGCCATTTCTATATATGTAAATATCTCATTTTTCTTTCTTTAATCTATTGACATGATTCATTATTACATCAACTAATTGCCTGATATTGAGCCATTCTAACCTATTAATGTCAACTCTTATTTGATTGTGGCAATTATTTTGTAATTTGTTTATAAGTTGTTCTTATGATTTTTTTATATTGTTGCATATTGTCGAATTCTTCTAACTAGTATTTCATTTTGTGTTATTGCATCTCAGTGTATAAGTGAGATTCATTTGTAGTTTATTTTCCCAACTAGACCGTAGTAAGGAATGTAGAAGGAAAAGAAATGCATGTGGGGAAGAGGCATGTAAGCATCTATAATAGACCAAGATATCTTAGTCTACATGCATACATCTTGATTTTGCTTTTCTTTTAGATTGAGGAGCAGTCAGACTGTAAGATCCTAGATGGACACTTTGTTTCCCCCATGGCACATTATGTGCCTGATATCATGCCAGTTGAGTCTGTTATTGCAAGGTAAGAATTTTTGTTCAGAAAATGAATTAAAGTAATAAGTTATTTATGTTCATTTAAAAATATATTAATACCAGTTCCATGTTATTTCATATTATCTTAAAAAAGAACCAAACCCATTGCCGTCAATGATTTCTGACTCTTATTAACCCTATAGGACAGAATAGAACTCCCCCATAGGGTTTCAAAAGCTGTTATCTTTACAGAAGCAGACTGCCACATCTTTCTTCCACAGATTGGCTGGTGAGTTTGAACCACTAACCTTTAGGTTAGCAGCTGAGTGCTTAACCACTTCACCACCAGGACTCCTTTCCAAAGTACTTAGCAGGCTTAAACTATTGAAAAGGCAGAATTACAAGATATTTCTTCTAAGAACATATAGTAGTGTATGTGCAAGGATGTTCATTGA